ATCATATCTGTCCTTTATTGTTATTGCTGTCATTCACCGGAAGTGTCAGGTAACTGCGGAACACTGAAGTTACGTTACCCATTATTCATACAACTAAGTGTTTTCACTGTTTAACTGCCCTAAAAAGTTTACAGAAAAATCACTCCATTATCCAAGGTTTTTGCATAATATTTTTTTAATCACAAAACCCGAGAAAATAAGATTGTTTTGTTGCGCTTACCATACCGAAGTTTTACTGATGAACGTCCTTGTAATTTGGGTACCAAAATTACATTTGACGTTAAAAAAGATTAATCGATCATCATGTATGATCATTTTTGTTGTTCAGGAATGTTCATAAAGGCAGGACTTGGGATGGACGAGTATGAAGAAGAAAAACGAAAACCGATCCCATCGATTGGTTTCTATCCTCATGAACCGATAAGCACAGGGGTTAGCTACAGAATTATTTTAACCTTTTATAGGGCATATATTGATATTTGAGTGGTTCAACAGCTGTTGTAAAATTTTTTGAGAACCTCTCTTTTTTTTCTTAACTAGAAAGCTTATTATAAAGAAAGATTGACAGTTTTAAGAAAATTAACTATTTCCAGACAACCTTAATTGCAATGGAGTTCAGAGGTGGTGTCGTCGTTGGCACTGATTCTCGTACAAGCGCAGGGTATTTTTAGTGATTATTCTTCATTTAAGAAAAGAAATAAAAGTTTTGGGAACTTTTAAAATCATACTGGTGGTAAAGGAGTAACACACTGTTTTAAGCTCATTTATTGTATCACGAGCTACGGACAAAATTACGCCAGTGACTGACCATCTGGTGGTATGTCGTTCAGGCTCAGCGGCAGATACTCAAGCTATTGCTGACATTGTAAAGTACTACCTCGAAGTATACACGTAAGTTTTAGCATTCCTGTCGGTAATATAGTACTTCGGATGTTTTAGGTCACAAATCACTCGAAAAAGCTGGGTGCCTGTTGCTGTTATGGTCTAGTGCTCCTTAGTTCTTTTTCTCTGTAATGAG